ACTCCTACCCCAACCCTCAGCTCCCCTGACCCCCCCCACCCACTCCTACCCCAACCCTCAGCTCCCCTGAACCCCACTCCTACCCCAACCCTCAGCTCCCCTGACCCCCCCCACCCACTCCTACCCCAACCCTCAGCTCCCCTGATCCCCACTACTACCCCAACCCTCAGCTCCCCTGACCCCCCCCCCCCACTCCTACCCCAACCCTCAGCTCCCCTGATCCCCACTACTACCCCAACCCTCAGCTCCCCTGACCCCCCCCCCCACTCCTACCCCAACCCTCAGCTCCCCTGATCCCCACTCCTACCCCAACCCTCAGCTCCCCTGACCCCCACCCCCCACTCCTACCCCAACCCTCAGCTCCCTGACCCCCCCCCACCCACTCCTACCCCAACCCTCAGCTCCCCTGACCCCCCCCCACCCACTCCTACCCCAACCCTCAGCTCCCCTGACCCCCCCCCGACCCACTCCTACCCCAACCCTCAGCTCCCCTGACCCCCCCCACCCACTCCTACCCCAACCCTCAGCTCCCCTGACCCCCCACCCACTCCTACCCAACCCTCAGCTCCCCTGACCCTCCCCCCCACCCAACCCTCACTCCCCCCCCACCCACTCCTACCCCAACCCTCAGCTCCCCTGACCCTCCCCCACTCCTACCCCAACCCTCAGCTCCGCTGACCCTCCCCCCACTCCTACCCCAACCCTCAGCTCCGCTGACCCCCCCCCCACTCCTACCCCAACCCTCAGCTCCCCTGACCCCCCCCACCCACTCCTACCCCAACCCTCAGCTCCCCTGACCCCCCCACCCACTCCTACCCCAACCCTCAGCTCCCCTGACCCCCCCCACCTACCCCAACCCTCAGCTCCCCTGACCCCCCCCCCACTCCTACCCCAACCCTCAGCTCCCCTGACCCCCACTCCTACCCCAACCCTCAGCTCCCCTGACCCCCCCCCACTCCTACCCCAACCCTCAGCTCCCCTGATCCCCACTCCTACCCCAACCCTCAGCTCCCCTGACCCCCCCCCCCACTACTACCCCAACCCTCAGCTCCCCTGACCCCCCCCACTCCTACCCCAACCCTCAGCTCCCCTGACCCCCCCCACCCACTCCTACCCCAACCCTCAGCTCCCTGATCCCCACTCCTACCCCAACCCTCAGCTCCCCTGCCCCCCCCCACCCACTCCTACCCCAACCCTCAGCTCCCCTGACCCCCACTCCTACCCCAACCCTCAGCTCCCCTGACCCCCCCCACCCACTCCTACCCCAACCCTCAGCTCCCCTGATCCCCACTACTACCCCAACCCTCAGCTCCCCTGACCCCCCCCCCCACTCCTACCCCAACCCTCAGCTCCCCTGATCCCCACTACTACCCCAACCCTCAGCTCCCCTGACCCCCCCCCCCACTCCTACCCCAACCCTCAGCTCCCCTGATCCCCACTCCTACCCCAACCCTCAGCTCCCCTGACCCCCACCCCACTCCTACCCCAACCCTCAGCTCCCCTGACCCCCCCCCACCCACTCCTACCCCAACCCTCAGCTCCCCTGACCCCCCCCACCCACTCCTACCCCAACCCTCAGCTCCCCTGACCCCCCCGACCCACTCCTACCCCAACCCTCAGCTCCCCTGACCCCCCCCACCCCACTCCTACCCCAACCCTCAGCTCCCCTGACCCCCCACCCACTCCTACCCCAACCCTCAGCTCCCCTGACCCCCCCCACCCACTCCTACCCCAACCCTCAGCTCCCCTGACCCTCCCCCCACTCCTACCCCAACCCTCAGCTCCGCTGACCCTCCCCCCACTCCTACCCCAACCCTCAGCTCCGCTGACCCCCCCCCCCACTCCTACCCCAACCCTCAGCTCCCCTGACCCCCCCCACCCACTCCTACCCCAACCCTCAGCTCCCCTGACCCCCCCACCCACTCCTACCCCAACCCTCAGCTCCCCTGATCCCCCACTCCTACCCCAACCCTCAGCTCCCTGACCCCCCCCCCCACTCCTACCCCAACCCTCAGCTCCCCTGACCCCCACTCCTACCCCAACCCTCAGCTCCCCTGACCCCCCCCCCACTCCTACCCCAACCCTCAGCTCCCCTGATCCCCACTCCTACCCCAACCCTCAGCTCCCCTGACCCCCCCCCCACTCCTACCCCAACCCTCAGCTCCCCTGACCCCCCCCCCCACTCCTACCCCAACCCTCAGCTCCCCTGACCCCCCCACCCACTCCTACCCCAACCCTCAGCTCCCCTGACCCCCCCCACCCACTCCTACCCCAACCCTCAGCTCCCCTGATCCCCCACTCCTACCCCAACCCTCAGCTTCCCTGACCCCCCCCCCACTCCTACCCCAACCCTCAGCTCCCCTGACCCCCACTCCTACCCCAACCCTCAGCTCCCCTGACCCCCACTCCTACCCCAAACCTCAGCTCCCCTGACCCTCCCCCCACTCCTACCCCAACCCTCAGCTCCCCTGACCCCACTCCTACCCCAACCCTCAGCTCC